CGAGCGGCCCACCCCTCCCGCCTCCTCCGCCAGCCTCCTCCTCCGCCCGCCGCTCCTCCCGCCCCCACCTCTGCGTGTGCGGCGGAGTCGCCCTCTCGCTGCCTCTTTCTCCCGCTCCCGCTCGTCTCTCTCGCTAATACTTCCCCCTGCTGTGCTCCAGCGGACCCACGCATTCTCCGCGCTCACCTTAGGGACCCGTGGTGCTCGAAAAGCCTCGAGAGAGCCGCTTCGGGCAGAGATAGTTGGAAGCCCCTCGTCCCTGCCCCCTCTCCGGGCGCAGCCCGTGCCCGGCTCGCAGCACCTTCTCGCTCCTGCACGCTCCGTTTGGGAGGACGGGGTGAGAAGGTGAAGTGGAGCGAACTGCAGAGCAGAGGGGGCCAGTCTCAGAGCTCAGATTTCATTTTCACTGAAGCAAAGCACAGAAGATCATTTTTTTATTCTGCATTTTCTTCTTCTCTTTTTAAAAAGAAACTTGTTTTGGGGGGTTTGCTCTGGGCATTTGCTTTGCCCAGTAGTTGAAAAGTGAACTCGACTCGTGATGGTTCTCCTGTCACTCTGGTTGATAGCAGCCGCTCTGGTAGAGGTTAGGACTTCAGCTGATGGACAAGTAAGTGGAAAATAATAACAATAAAAATCTCAAACCCAACCTTTTCCCGAAAAAGTTCCTTCCCTCTCTCCCCTGCTCTCGTTCCCCTCCCTCCTCCTCCTGCTCTCACCCTTCCCTGTTATCTTTTGCATTCAGGAACGGTGTTTTGAGGGCTGGGCGCAGCGTGCGGGGCTTTTGGGGTGGGGGTTGAATTGCACGGGAGGTTATGACTCCCAATGGGAGCCCAGGCTTGTCACACCTAGGGCTTCACCACTCTGCGGCATTCGGAGCACTGATTAGTGACAAACTGCAGCCAGTTCGCATCCTCGCCGGGCCATCTGGGTTTCCCCTTTCCAGAGGGCGGTCTGGGCGCGTGAATGAAGTTCTGGACGCTGGGTCCAGGATCCCAGGGCTCCGGTCGGGGCAGCCGGAGTCGGGTTCGCGGGACTTTCTCTGCTCGTAACTTGACTCACGGCTCTTTCGAGCAGCCGGAGGCGGGGGTTTCAGGAAGTCCTTGGGTCGGACGGGGAGCGATCCAGTAGACACGTGTCCTGGGAGGACCGCAGCCGGGCTAGCGTTTGACAGTTGGGGAGGGGGGGTGGAGAAGTTTCCTGCCCGACGTTTTCCTGGGCAGAGGCTGGAGGCGCCGGCCGCCCTCTCCCCTCCCCCCCCCCCACAGCTCCTCCTCTTTGGAAAGCTGAGTGCAGCTCTGTTTCTTTTCGGCCCTGCCCCCATCCTTTGGAGACTCAAGGTGAAGCCCGATGCTCTCAGAAGAGTCCTTGAGAAGGCTCAGGCCGGCGAGCCGTTTGTAGTAAATCATATCAGCACAGGGCCGGTGGGACTTTGAGTACAGAACTTCTCTGTGAGTTTTTGTGGCTTCTCTGGTCTGCCTGGTCTGACCATAGGGTAAAAAGTAGAGACTTGTCTAGTTGGTTTAAATCTGATGAAATCAGGCCCTCTTTTCGGCTTCTTTTCTCCTGTTTAGATTCAGAGACTTTCTTTTCTAATCCTGATCCAGTACGAGAGTTTTCTTAAGAGACTACTGAGTATTTATTTTTTTGCTGGCTTTGTACTCACACATGTTAAATTAAAATTGAAACTGGCAAACAACTCCCTTTCCCCAAATTGTTATTGAATTGGCTCATGCTCCTGTCACAAAAATCTTCCACAAACCAAGTTGCAGCCTTTAGGCACCCATCCCAGTCTCTAGCATCTCCTGATTAGGTAGCTCCTGAAAAGCATTAATGGTAGAAATAAAACGCACAAGGTGATAAGATGAAACCCAGTAACTGTTTCTTTTTCTTACTTTCCCCCTCCTTTCCAGGCTGGTAATGAAGAAATGGTGCAAATAGGTAAGCCTTGTTCTCAGATGTCACTCTTATCTTAGTTGAAAGTAGGGAATGAAGTGAGCTAAGCAAAATATTGTTTCTGAATTTTTTCCCATTGGTGTTTAAAAAAAGTAATATGTAGTCTGGGAACATTTCTATTCTTCTCTTCCTCTTTCCGGAAGAGGGTCCCTCTTTCCTCAGGCTAAATTATAGTGGTATATAATTCTCCTGCAGGTTGACTTTTCAAGCATCAATTTATTACTGTGTTTTTACAAGTCACTAGTATGTACTTGGAGGGTGATGGAAGGGCTGGAAGAAGATACGGAGATGAACCAAATGAAATCATCAACTTCTGTAGCGTTAGGAGGAGCATATCTGATTAGAACAGAAGGCAAGTTGTCAGAATGCTACAAAGAAGGGAAAAATGAAGTACAGAGGATGGAACTTTTTCTCTAAAAATTTTTCCTGCTTTGAGTAAACCCTTTGAATACTTCTCCTGTTCTGTCTGTTTTAAAGTAGTCATCTACTATGTGCAAGATACTGTTAGGACTTTTGCAAATAACATCTAAAACCTCAGTATTAGCTGAGCTGTGGGGATTATTATTCCCACTTTATGGGTGAGGAGACTGAGGTTCAGAGAGTGTAAGTGACTAACAGGTCACTCCCAAAGTCCATGGTCTTTTTTGAAGCTGTTTATATTAATGCATTTGTTCTGAATGCAGAGATTGAAAGTCATCTGGCAAGAAGCCAGGCTACATTCAAAGTCTTTTTGCAACACACATTTTACTTGGATTACTTTAAGAGATTTTTTTTTTTCTTCATTTTGGCAGCATATTATTCTCTGTAAATTCTTTATTTGTCAAGTGATATTGTAAAGTCATCTTTTAGGAGAGAGGTTTTTATTACTGCTGCTGCAAACAGTTACAAGTCACTGACCATTTACAAAATGCTAGGAACAGTATTAATTGCTTTATGTGTATTACATCACCTGATTCCCAAACCGCACTATGAGATAGGAATACCATTGTGCCTGTTTTAGAGATGACGCAAATGAAGCTTGAGCATTTGTACAGCTACCTGCTGAAGTACACAGCAGAAGTCTACACTTGTTAACTAATGGGGGGATCCCAAGATCCAGGCCCAGAGGTATGTATGTATATGTAGTGTGCTGTATATTAGCCTATGTCAAAATGCTCCATCCTACTCAGTGCTTAGTGTTGTTGGATATCTTCTCCAAGCTTCGACCTTAATGGCAAGAGCAGAACAGAGGGGAAGAGAGTGACTGAGAACTGCACTAAAAATATAGTATCTATCAAGAGACATTTCTTATTTGTAATTGATACTATTCAGCCATCTATCTGTATCTTTTTAAAAATGGATTTTTTTAGCCAATTCCCAAACAAGCAGGGAGAGGAAAGCATTCTTAATTTTAATTACTTAAACACTTGATTACTTAAATATCCCAACTTTTCAATATGTCAATTAAAAAGATGTTTTAAGATTCCCCTCTCCACCAGAGGAATATTCACAAAATAAAGTACGTTGCTTTGACTGGATTTTCAGATAGGATCAGAATGCTCTCATGTAAACGGCCCGGAATTAGACTTTGATTCAGTCCATTTGCTAATATAAATTACTTTGGTAGCCTTTTTTGCAGGAAAGAAGATAGGACAGGTGTGCTTAAATTTGGCAGGAGAAAGACGAGTCAGTACAATGGAAGAGAGGAGGGCAGGGCACTCTTAGTTTGTATTGCTGGAGATTTACATGTCCCCATATCTCTATTTTATAAGATTTCTTTCTTTTATTATCATTCTTATTTGCCATTTTCAATTTGAATGAAGAGAAGAAAATGATAAAAAAAATCGATTTTGGCTTATGAGTCTTGTGATAGCAAATGTGTAGCTATCATTTGGCTTTGAGTTATAGTCATTTGTGTAATTCTTAAGAGGAATTTAAAAATATTATATCATATTTAAGCAAATCTTATGTACATATATTTTTTTTCTAATAACTGATTTAAAAATGGTTTTATATATAACTGCCTGGAGATGCTATTTGATCAATAATGCATTAGGAAAGACTAAGAAGCTTTGTAGAATTTATTTATTTAATTTATTGCTATATAAGCTGGCTAGGGAAAATTCTATACCACTGTATAATTTCCTAATAGTTTAATGTCTTAGAAAGTGATAAATATAAATTATTAATAAACCACACATTGTTAGGAAGCTAAATTAAAAATCACTTTCAGTTGAAATATAATATACATGCAGAATAGTACACATAAGTGTACACCTTGCTGATTTGTCACAAAGCAAATACTCCTGTGTATTCAGCACCTAGATCAATAAGTAGAATATTACTGACACCCCTGTACTTCTCTTGTGCCACCTTCCTAGCACTGTTCCACCACAAAAGTAATCACTCTCCTGACTTCTAACAGGATAGATTAATTTTGAAAGTTTTTTGTGCTTTTTATAAATAGAATCACACGATATGTACTCTTTAGTGTATGTCTTAGAGAGGCAGTTTTTAAACATATAAATGATACACTTTAACCCTCTAGCCTAGGGAGGCTTTTATTTAGGTAAGGAGAAGGCAGTTTGTGATGGAGCAGGTTCAAATGTATATAGATAAATCACCAATATAGTGGCTCGTACAGAATATTGCTTCTTTTCTTCTCTCTCCAGCCAGTGGAAAAATGCACTCTTTTATGATTCACCCTAGGAAAAAAATGGGTAGATAGGTGACCTAGTTCTGTGACTCTTCGTCAACCATAGAAGAACTACCTACCTACCTATACACACCCTACGTGCATACATATCTGTGCATGTTTGAATGTGTTTGTGTACATGTGTGTAAGTATATTTCATGAGATCCTTAACATATTTCTGTGGCATATCAGGGAGCTCTTTCATTTCTGACTCAGGATATGGCCTTGGTAGGAGGCTTAGGATAATTGTGGGCAACTGCCTGTCTGGCCTATTTGGGTAAGGAGACACACGTGCCTTAGGAAATAATCATAGTTCTGCAGAAACTGGAGAATCTGAAAAAGGATTCTCTGAATCTTTTTGTTTTATAAGCCACTACTTTGAGATTGCCTGAATATCATTTGAGGAAAAATCATTGTGAGGCTTTAGTGTTAAGCTATCTTCTCCCCTACCCCTCTCTTGAAATTGGGGCATATTTATCTTTCTATGACCTATTTATGTTCCCCAGTTGCAAATTCCATTATATTTCATTCTTAAAAAAAAAAAAATAAAGTTGCTGATGTTATCCTCTCAGATATCCAGTTTACTGAGAAATAATTTTTCATCATTTTCAGGTATTTATTTGGTTTTGAAGGTTTAGTGTGAGTCACTTACCTAGCTGTTGGTGTATGGTGAGCATCGTCACTAGTGTAGACCTCATGAGAGCAAGACTTTGCCTTGATGACTACTGTATCCCTGGTACATAAAACAGTTCTTGGTAACTTGTGGGTCCTCAAATATTTGTTATTTGATGAATATATCTAGCAAGTTGAGTATTATCATGCTGAGACTTACCTGTGTTCTGAATTTTCTTACATGCTGTTGTTCTGTGCCTCTCTCCAGGTTAAATAGGTCCTTGGATTAGTCTGTTTTCTCTTGCTTGTAACAGAATACCTGAATCTGGGTAATATATAAAGAAATGAAATTTATTTCTTACAGTTTTGGAGGTTGGGAAGTCCAGGGTCCAGGGGGCACATTTGTTGAGTGCCTTCTTCTTGGTGGGAACCTGGTGCAGAATCCTGTGACAGTGCACAGTATCACATGAAAGGGCTGGATGAGAGCACTTTCATGTGCTCTCCTAATAAAGCCACCTCTCCACACCTATGGTAATCCATTAATCCTTTATGGGGACAGGGCCCTCACTATCCAATCACCTCCTAAAGGCCCCACCTTTCAACACTGTTTGTTACATTGGGGATCAGTCTTCCACATGAGCTTTGGAAGGGACAAACATTCAAGCCATAGCAGTCCCCAAGAAAATGAGGATGGTTATACAATGGCTATACAATTAATTATTTAATGTTATCAAGGTCTCTTGTGACTCCTCTTTTCACCCACAAAGCACAGAGAGGTAGGCCTATTGATTTTTTTATGTTTTTCTGTTTGTGCTCAATAAGTATTTGGCAAATTGAACTGAAATCTATGTGCAGTTTTGGAACACCCACTGATTTTTTTTTTCCTACAGTCTACTTGGGATCATTTGCTCTGTTGCTGGCATCAGGGGAAATAAGATAACCTAAGATTAAAATCTATCAATCTAGTTTGTCAGTAGCACTACTAAAAAGTGTGGTAGAGAAGGGGGTTTAAAGAGATCCTTTGTAAAATATAGAACCTTAGCTACCTAAGCCGTTATTCATCCTTGTAACTAAAGATCATGGAGTTAGCTTTACTGATTTAGCTTTCACCCCTCCATTGAGTGTGATAATGGTTAATGTTAAGAGCTTCTTAGATGAAAATGCTAAGTGCAGCTTATTATCTATCACCAGGAACTTATTGTTGCTGTTTAGGTGAAATATATCTTCCCTGTATTTTCACTGCAGTCTCTAGTCATTGTTCTAAATAATCATAGTATTCCTCAGAAATGTTAATAAACCCTCAAGGTCACCTTTGCTTCCAGGATGATGATTTCTAAGCATTCTTTGCTTGTGAGTAGTCAACCTAGATTACCTTGGAAGTCTTTTTGGGACAATTCCAAATTGCCTGGTAAAATCATTAGTGGTTTTGATATGAAGAGTTTGATTATACTGCTTGGACTGGATATATTGACAGTGATGACGTAGATGGAACTCTAATCCTTCCTCAAAGAAGTTTGCTATTACCAGAATTTTGGGAATACTCTCTTTAGAGTTCCTGTAATAGAGATCAACTTCAATTTCTAAACTATGCTACTTCTATTACTATAAGTTGTTGAATTATTCTTTTAATGAATCAGGTTTTTTTTTTTTTTTTGGATTATTAATGTTTTACCTGTGCCCACTGTAATAGTATTCTTTT